CCCCCCCCCCCCCCCCCCCCCCATCACTTTTCTAATGGTCCGTGCCTAGGCCCACATACCTCGCAGCGGACGTGTTAACATGCAGGTGCCATTTTAATAGTCGGCGCTGCAGATCAACATAACCCCTCATCCGTAGGCGGCTCCTCATCCAAAGGTTCAGTCAGTATCCACGTCAATTTCTGGTAAGTGAAACGTTCAAACATCCGAAATTCAAGAGCCATGGTCGCACATTGCCCTTCTCGCCATAAGACAACATTCAACTCAGTTGACGTAATGTTTTCATAATTGGTTGTTTACCAACCCTCATGATCAATAAACTGTTCGTATTTCCTTGCATGTAAATAGACCTTTTACGTGATTTTAAGTCAACAGAGCTTGCACGTGAGATGGCAAATACAGATATTATTGTCTGTCACTTAATCAAACTGCCCGCGAATATCAAAATTTACACATTTTTGGTCTGAAATACTGTAAGGAATCAAAACAAGCCTTTCTTTTCTCCAGCTGTACTTTAAAACAGCTTGTGACTGTACCATTTTTGAAAAGAAAGTTAAATTATTTCTTTTAAGTAGTAACTTTACCTTTGATAGTTGAATCAGTGTTTTTGTCTCAGGACATATACATCAGTGTAGCAGTTTATATGTCACATAGCTAATAAACAATTATTGAATGAGGTTTTTGTGATATCCGGAATAATCAAGGTCGAGGTAGGTGTTATCAGCCAAAGCCGAAGGCTGAGGCTGATAACACCGATCGAGACCTTGATTATTTCGGATATCACAAAAACCGAATCTCATAATTGTTTTAATATACATTGTTTTAAAGAAAATAACGACAAACTCATTATCGCACCGAACACAGTTTATTTTCCAGAAGCCATGTTCTTACGTGAACTTGACATTAATATTGCTCTTGGAAATCATTCATTGCGCGCGCAACCTACGGATTATTCACTAAACTGCTAGCAGATTGGTGAATAGGCCCTTTGCAGCTGGGGTCACGTGACCAAATTTTTCCTGGAAAATTTATATATTATGGGCTATAACTTGAAGAATGCCAGAAATGGAAAGAGCACATCGAAAATATTAAAATGGCCAAGTTTGAGGCCCCTGGCATTAAAGAGTAAGTTTATACGACCGTTTGAATTTTCGGACAATTTAGAGGATTTGTATGGAAAATGTTGCTGGAGAGCAAGGCCTTGCTCTTCAACAACTTTTTCCATACAAATCTTCTTATTCTTTTAAAAATTCAGGCTGTCATAAAATCTCATTCAATAATGATTGGGGCCTCAAACTTGGCCAATTTAATATTTTCGACATGCTTTTTCCATTTCTGGCATTCGTTTAGTTATAGCTCATAATTTTATGAAAAATAGGTCACGTGATGGCTTAGCTGCAAAGGGCCTATAATCTGTAGGTTGCGCTGTTTCCCAGAATTAGCTGTAGGCTTTTAGCCAATGAGAAGACAGATAGTGACTACAATGTATAATAATTATTGTAATTTTATCGTAAGCGAAGTTTCAGCTAAAGCGGGCTGTGTTGCCAAATAGCTTACCCAAAGGGATAAGACAATCAAACCCTCTGAGTGATTTTTACATGATATTAAAAGTGACATCTTCCAGAGCTAGCTCATTTGGTATTACACCTCTTTTATTTTGTTTTGCCTTAATGTTTTCTGTTAATAGAGTCAAACAGAAAGGAAACATCTGCACGGCGAACGAGATTGCTAATCAAAGAGGGTGGCCTCAAGGTGGCACTTCCTAGTAATGCGTGTACTAGTGTTATATTTCGAGCCCGTTTCTTCCTCCAATTCACCCGGCCTATCAAACGTGATAGTCTTATGCAATCATCGATGTTATAATCATGGCTTTTAGTCAAACAAACAAATGCGTTTTCACTGTCTATGTGGCTTTAATTGTGATTTTCTTTTAAGTTTCTTCCGCGAGATCTAACAAAACTCTCAAAGTACGTCAAATCTGCCTTGGTATAAAAAAAACGCGTAGAAAGTAGGGGTTGGAATGGCAGTTTCTTCGTAATTTTGCAATTTTATGTCTTTTCCGATCTCTTCGCGCAAAAGGTTGATCAGATAGATTTCCATTCAAAACGAAAAATGTCAAATAAAGTAAAATAGTTATAACCAGCCTGAAAACTACGTGGAATCTCACCGCAGAAACACGAGAAAATTCACTGTCGGTTTTTCCTAAAATAGTGTAAAACTCTAATGTTTTCCAATGAGCGCAGACGGATAACTACAGTTTTCGTACTCAGTGCGCGTGCAGTCCTAAAACTACAGGTAGCCACCTTAAATTGTTCCATTGACCTAAATGAGAACAGCCTGAAGAGCGCATGCCAACAGTGTGATGACGCTGATCATTGGTACTGCTATAGCTTTATTGCACAAGTCCTCGGTGCAGCAGCTGAAGTCACACTTGGTGATTGTTAGGGATTCATCATCAGACTCAAACTTGCAATCATTGTCGTCCTCGCACAACGATGTATCAAAACATCCTCTGAAATATCCTTGAATTGTCTCGCCACTGCGTTCTCCGTGTAAACCGAGTTTAGCACAGCTCTGTTCCTCATCATCAGAGCAACTTAGCACTTCTCTGACGTCATCAAAGTCATCCCAACTCTTGATAGAGATGCAGTGATAGCACTGGAGAGGCCTTGGGGTGGGGACTGGGGCTTCACTGGATCCTTCCACTGCAAAAACAAAGAAACAGTAAAACAGGCTTTGTGTACCTTCGGTTACTACCAACGCCTTCTTTTACATACCTAACGCCCGCGAAATTCGCACATTTTCATGGCCCATTTAATGGGAGTAGAACCACTCGCGGGGATCGACGACATTGTGACGCTTGTACATTCATGACCGTTGGAAAAAATTTGTAGTTTTCTAAATATTCTGACCATCCAGAACAATTTTCTACTTATAAAACATTACATAGAACGTGAAAAGACATATTGCAAATGTCACAAAAACAACTTAAGTATTGAAGTATCATCGAGATTTCGAGAGCAAGAGGGTATATGTTACCGTTTTAATGTGATGTTGGGAATTTTCCGGAAACTCCGACTATAAAAATAGATAAGTTGCTATTTTTCACAAAAGAAATTACACGATTTTGTCGCATAGTTTGAGATTTCTGTGTCTTTTATTTGCAAATTTCAGTCTCTCTTCTTGAGATTCTCGTGCCCTGCAAACGACATTGGTACTCACTCTCATTGCAGGCATCCTGGTCACAGCAACTGTGTGAACACGTCCAATCGGGATCCTTGCATACTAAGGATATTGTAATTGAGGCCTCATTGCAGGTTTCGACTTCTGAGCACCGTTTCACAAACTGTTTGTTCATGATGCTTCCATTATTGAAGGTAGTAAACAGTTGTTGACAGCGGTCCATACCAGAAGCACAGGTCACAAGCTGCTGTTGTTTTACGCAATCCTCTTGACTTTCCATGCTGTTACACGTGTAGCACTTGAGTCCAAGAGCTGCAATAAACAACATAGACATTCAATCGAAAGAATAATATATAGATTTAGCCAAGCCTAAAAGCGGGGCTCCTTGTTAAGACCCCGATTAAGCTAATCCAGGATTAGCGAGAATTTTGATCTGAGTTTTGTAACTTTGCAGTGAGGTTTTCTGTTTATTGTTTGCCCTTCTGTTTTGAGTTTGAATACTCTAAGAAACTACACAAAACAAAAGCAGTGAAAAACATTTGTGAACAAGAAAAACTTATACTTTGGTTAACGTTTAATCCTGGGTCAGCGTTAACCGGCTTCCGAACAACTCGGCCCAGTTTACAAGTTAATCTGGCATGAGCCTGCGATCCAAAAAAAACCAGCTCTTGGTCAGCAGTCAACTTCAAAAAAACCACGTGACCCCGATGAGCTCTAGACTTAAGCCCGCGATATGGTTACGTGAAACTGGTCAGCGGGCCGCCGGAGCTCCGCTATCATAAATGAAGTCAAGCCGTAGCTGCACAGCTCATTATTGTCATTATTGTTGTCAGTTCTTGAGTGTTACTTGACTTATCAGCAAAGAAAAATTTTTGCAAGTTATGCTTTTGTATGCGGGCGTCTACTCTCGTCCCCAGAAATTGCGACGCTACGAAGAACTCCCGTGAGGAGTCTGCTTGTACCGAATTTGTTTTGAGCTGGCGCAAAGTACTTGTTTTCTCTGAGCTTTTTTTGCCTTTCCCTTTTGACAGTCAATGTGCCCAGCGATCGCAGTTCTCCGTGATGAATGAGCAAGACTCGCAGGCCGCGCGGCATTAATCATATTTGCTCCTAGAAGCGCATTTACCCGGCACTTTGCGTCGCACTTTGCAATCATCAGCTCCCACGACAAATCGTCTTGCCAATTGATTCAGTGCCCATTTTCAGCTTTTTTTAGATTCAAAACCTTGTCCTGACTCTTTCGGGCAGTCATTGCATGCGTCGAAGTCTGAAAAAGATTTAAGAATAACGATCTATCGGAAATGACTCTTGATCATGGCATACGATTGTTTTAGATGGAAGTGGTCAGAAGTGAAGTGCCTCGACAACGGTACAATCGAATTCACTTCAAACAGCATTGATTTGTCTAAGCCCTGTGCATATGACGTTTATTGCCGATTTTACCTTTCACCGCATAACAATAAGTGCTTCAAGAAAGTTCTGTTCGATCTCTTTCAACGTGTTTAATAAATGGACACACCGAGTGTCTCATCCAGCACAGACTTTAAGAGCTGGAATTACTTGAACTGGTATGAACTGAAAGATCAAGCTCGTTCAGCTTAAAATTCGTCATTAGAACAGCTTTTTGGACCATTGAGAGTTTCTGTGATTTCCTTTTCCTTCATCCTCGCTTTTCCCTTCTTCTCCTTTTTTCTAATAATTAGTGATCGTTCATAGCTAGGTCGAACGCGGAGCCGTTGTCTTCTTGAGTTTAATGCGCCATCGCTTTTTTGTAGCAACGAAATTTCACCTTCGGAGCTAGCATTTGATTGGACGCACGACAGCTTATGCTAGTGAGCTTATGCAAGTCTCCTATCAGGTGCTATAAGGGAATTCTCAGTGTAAGAAATTAAACAAAAACTTACTGAATACAGTGCAGGCGTGTTGGATATTAACATCTGGTATGATATATCCTTGAGTTTGATTTGGTTATAACTTTGGTTGGTAGCAAGTATCTAAACAATTTTTTGAACGTTGAGTTTTTCGTCTCAGTTGCAGTATAGGTGTGTATTTATTTATTTATTTATTTTTTTACTTTCGTTGTTTTTGTTTTGTTTTGTTTTTATTTTTAATACGCTCAAACAACCTGTTCATAAGCAAATGAAATCTCGGCTCCCTCCATCGAACAAGTCAATAAATGCAAGTGGTTTTCCGCAGGGCGCTTTTGACAGTTCCTAAAATTTAGCCACGTAATCTCACATAACCATGAAATATATTACTTTCTACTAAGCTGGTCATTAATGAAGCAATTGGTTATTAATAAAGCAATACTAACCTGAGGTTAAGCAGAGCGTCAGAACAGAGATTGCCAAGAATTGAGTCATAATGCTGAATAAGACACAGTGTGTTTTACACCGTTCGGCTGAGTGCTATACACTTTGCCGCGTCTCAAATCTATAAGTAGTTTGGGTTGCCAATATCACTACGGTCAGTCCAATACGGGTTAAGTGTTTTACATCATTTGCATTCAGCAAGAAAGTGTGTCATAATTACAATTAAATCATATTTAATTTGCGTGATTCATAAACCTTGAAACATCTGAAATTCGACAACCAATGCCGTAAGTATGGTTTAAATATGATTTTCTCGATCTTTTTCTCCATAAGTCCATATTCCTGACATTCCTCGGGCGGACGTGCTGGCACTCAACGAGCATAAGACAGCAATATTACATAAACGTGATAGTGATGACTTGTTTATATCAACCCGCTATCAACAAACTATTGTATATTGTCTGGCAAGCCAATTTACTGTCCCGCAATTAAAATCAATAGAACGTTCCTGTGTCGTTTGCTGTTGTTGAAGCGTGAAGAAAGTAAGTTATGATCTCAATCATCTTATTAATTAAAAGCTTTCGTAAAATGATACAAAAGGAAATTCGTATTGACACCGTCACCTTAATATTTGGTTAATCAAACTTTTTACGCCTTCTTTTACTTTCTTTATTTCCATCAAAGAATACTACTGTACGATTGCGCCTTATTCTATTCACTGATCTAACATCAGGTTGATACGTGCTTGAGTAAACACATGCTGTTATGCTGCGGTAACTTTCAATAATTGTCCATCTCGAGATTAGCACATTCTTTTTAAAGAAATTAATATTAGTCTAAACGGAGGAGGATTTCAGTTGTCAAAATTATGTTTTCATGACAAAGAAGCAGTATTAGTTTTTCAAAATTAAAACAGTCAAAGTGCACAATTCAGTGAGAACCTAGTGAAATAAATTCTATATTAAAATAATTTAATCTCTATCGGCAGCGGGTCTTGGAGTTGGTCTGGAAAGTTGCAAATTAAGTGTTATTTGTCTTGGTTTCTGTTATCAAAACCTCTTATCATATACCGATATCATTCTTTAGAATATAGCCCCAAAAAAGTATGCCCGCTGATTGGTTTAAAATTGTGTTTCTATTTAACAATTAGATTATGAGCTCGAGATTTTTACGGAGGTGATAGTTGATGAGGCCGACGGCCGAATCAACTATCGCCTCATAGAAATCGAGAGCGAATAATCTAATTTTTTCAGTAGAATTCTAACTGAAATTTCCTTCACATAACGATTCCAATTATATCTGGTCTTAGTAGTAAACTTCATGCTTTAGAGAATTCGCGCGGACTGAATTAATTGTTAATTTGACATTTGCAGTTGTGTACGCGCTCATCAGTTTCTTTAAAAATTTTCGAGCTTTTTTAATCCAAGAAAACGTAAATACCCTCCTTTTATAGTTTTCTCAGGAATTTTGTTTATTCGGTAGTTTTTAAATGTTCCTTCAAAGAGAAACGAGGAAACGTTGTAATTTTGTCGACCATACCAAGCCACTGCACACTAATGGCTGATAAAGTACAATGGCTCAACCAATCAGATTACAGCATTTGCATAAGTATACTTGACGAATTCTACTAGAACTCGATAGAAGCACGGAACATTTTTTTTAAATACTGAAAAATTCATAAAAAGTTAATCGTGATACCGATTGGTATCGGCGGCAATGGATAGAAATCGATGGATTAGTTAAAGCTGTGAAATTGATATCGATTGCCGAGTGAAATCGAATAGCTTTTGTCCCACTGATTCACTTTAGCTGTGGGGCTGTTGCGATACTCTGTCTTGAGGACAACACAGCTGAAAATGCAGTTTCATTCCGAAACAAAAGTCTCTGAAAAATACTTTTGTAGATTTAGAAGCAGATTTAATACCAGATTGCGCCGCTAGCATATAGTGTGTCATCTGAGTTTACTTGAAACCAGGAGCCATAATCGGGGACGGAGATCGCAAGCGCGCGCTATTGCTAGTATTGGGGCTGTCCCTATGATATGGGACAATTTTCCTATTTTTAGAACGAATTGCGCCATCATGTGCGGCACACGCGCGTACACGCTGCGAGGATTTTTGCGGATGTAGCGCGGGGAAATGGCGTCTGAAATTCCCGAAATGTTTTGATACTTTTGGCCCACAACTCAATACGTTAATGTCTGTTGGATTTTTCAGTTCAGTATTTTCGTCGTAAGCTGCTCCAGTTTGAAAGTAATAAGACAGTGTCGAATTTAGTATTGTCCCGCTTTATATATATCACTGACCAAGTTATGTTCCACTGCTTCTTTTACAAGAGCTCCACATTACTCCACTCTACTGAAGTTTCACACATGTTGAACATTAACAGCTTTTCCATAACACAACAAAAAACTAGTTGGATATAGTTGGATATAGCAGCGTTTCAGGACTTCAAAGTTTCCCTCCTCTTGCCACACGCT